AAGTTTCAATTCAGTTTGACGCAGGGACGTTGTCTAAAACTTTGCCCCAATATACTTCAATTAAGAACAGCTTTGTGTTCGCGATTCCTCTTTGATCAATCGATCAATGGCAGTCTTTCAAACGCAACCCGCAGAACAGCGGTGTGGTATCTTATTATGGTTGCATACCCACGGGTAATGATGTACGTAACTAATGTACCAACACAAATCGCCGTTAATTCTGAAAAGCCGAAGCTGTTTCGGGTCGAAAGGTCACGTGTTCGAATCTCGCCTCGGACACTGTGTCCATACGTGTTCTCCTTCCAATTCACCCAGCAGTTTAAAAATTACAGAGTTCGCTGTATGATCAGTATGATGAAATGGCGACCTTTAAACAGGGAGAAACTCTAATGGTGCTGAAAGAGCACGTACTTTCTCACCCCTACTTTCCCGCAAAATTATGCGAAAAGAACTTAAATTTTCTAAAAATTGTGAATGACCTTATTTCAGTATCTATCTTTAAGAAACAGATTTTATTAGGAGAAAAAATCTATATCTTTAATATATCAGTTGTAAGAAGACGAATTTTTTTGAATTTTTGCAATTTTCAAAAAATCATGGATTTTACCGAACATGAGTACGTTTTTCTCTCTACTTCATAGCCAAAAAGCAAAAGAATTCAAATCGAATTTCCGAGTTGCAGGTTTCGAGTTTGCCACCGTCAACCAATAACAGGATAACGATTTACTTGCATTTATGTTGAAAATTATATCAGCCATTCATTTCTTTGGCCAATTTCGAGGCTATGTCCTCAGAAAAGTGAACATTTTTAGTATGATTAATTTTTCAGAAATGTACACTAAAGTGACATGCGTATTGAAGACCAAATTTCATCACGCAAATATCTCGTCTTGGAGTTTGCTTGATTTTGACAATAATTAATGCTTGACTGCGAAAAGGGCGTAACTATTATTATACTTTTTATACATAAAATGTTTCAAATCGTTCTTTGGAGGACCAAAATAGTAATGTGGTAACGAGAAAACATAGTTGAGAGACGTTTATAATACTGAGTTGAGTCCTTTCCCTGTTACGTCGTTACGTCCGCGAGCTTGCATCGTTCGTTGTAATAATTGCAAGAAGTATGAGCTTTAATGCTAATTTTTAGATCAATTTGCTCCAAAAAATATACTAGATAGATCGACAATCTCTATACATGAATACGAAGTTCAATCGATATCTTCCAATAGTCAGTTGGACAAATGGAATTAAATTTGTCAGTAATGTATAATTATATAATATTTCTCAGTAGACATTCTCTTTGAGTAATTTATGAACATATGTCCAACGAGAAAATTCTAACGGAATGTTTTGACTTTGAAATGAAACACTAGCTTCGTTTCTGAACGTCAATAACTATCGTATTATTAGTAATTCTTTAGCAAAAAAGAACTTTATATTTAGTTTATTAGATCCTGAGATAGTATTATTGTGAAATTTGTCATAAAAATATTTTATTAGATATGTTTGCAAAGTGTTATTTCAACTTAAACCGGCAAAGAATGGCTGTGAATGCAGAAGATGTGAATTTGTCCGATATTTCTGATTTTTCATCGGATGATAGTGAGTTTAAGCATCCAGATGAGAGTCATTCATCTTCAGATGCTTATTTATGTAGTGTTAAAAAAAAGAATGATGGTCGAAAGAGGAAAACAATTCCGAAAATCAGAAAACACGAACTGAAGAACAGTCGCAGAAATAGCGTTAAAACTACATCAACAGTTCAGGAAAATTCGTAGGTAGAAAATTAGACTGATTTTTCACTCTACGATTAATAGACAAAATTATAAGTTACGAATTTAACACCGCATTTGTGACGAGTGTTATACAAGGCAGAGGTTATGGCAATGAACTTGAAAGTGAAATTTATTCAAAATAGCCTCCACGAGCTGTATATCTAAAATTAATAAACACATGCCGCCTTGCGTACAAGGAAATATTTATTTATTTATTCGCGGAAATCAACATTGTAAAATAAATATAAATCCTTATATTGGAGCATTTTTGTTCATTTTGTGAGCTTAATCAATTACTAGAATGATTTTTCATGTGGTATGTATTTTTTTATTTAATTCACTGTTTTTTCTTGATTATCTCAAACCTGTGTGTTCTGAATTGTGCCCTTCTTCCATCCAACTCATCAAATGCCGTTCTATGATACAACTATGTGTATATTTACTGTACTGATTACTTGTTTAAAATTCTAAACGTCAGAATGGAACGCCTGGCAACAGAAATCAACATGCTTTTGCTCTTTGCATTTTCGGTCTTTTCATGTGTCTGTAGACAAATTTTAGAATGATGTTCAAAAGAGTGAAAATTTTCTTTTCTTCCACCCGTCTTACTCTGCGTACCAGCGATATCAGCTAAATCGGAACCCAACTACAGTTATTATTGTTTTGCTGGTCTTCTTGATAGACTTTCAATTCATATTTTCCCCTGCTGTTTAGACAAGCCCAGCAGAGATGTACGGCAGGCTATGTTCTGACGAAGTCAAAAATATTTCATGACCTGCCGAAAATATTTGCCAAGTAGGTTGCTTAATTATCAGAGGCAAACACCATGTTGGGATAAATGAGTATAACTGCATTATATCCATTTTTCCACGATATTGATTGGCAGCAAGTGATTATTTTCGATTCTGTTACGTGCTCTATATGTTAGAAACGTTTATACTGAGATATGAGTGTACGCCTGTTACCATCTGGTACTTCGCGTTTGTCAATTGGCCATTGTTCTCTTTGCCAAAAGTGACCTTTCCTAATATGTAAATTTAATACACCACGCAATTTGAAGTTTGCATCATTCTCATTAGGTATTGTTTCTTTACATGCAATTTCCCTTATGTTAATTGACAAAATGTGATAATTTTCTACCTTCTACATCTCTTAGAAGTTGTAATATTTATTCTAAGGTACCTAATGAAGCAAGATGTTATGAGTCGGAGCGGAACTGTTCCCTGTTTCAGGTTTCGTGTTAGCCGATCGGCCATTGTTCCCTTTGCTAATGTTGTCATCTCCTAATTACAAATAATACATCACGTAATTTCAAGTTTACGCAAGTTTGCGCCAGTATGAGTATGTGCAGAATCGATACATGAAATTTCCCATCCCCCGTTCCCTGGCAAAATGTGATTATTTTCACTCCTTCTTCTCCTAAGTTCACCTTCCTTGTAAATTTAATACAGTAAGTAATTCGAGGTTTACCTGAGTTTTTATCAGTGATAGTACGTGTAGTTTCGTTATAAAAAAATTCCCACATCATGTACATTTGCAAAATATGAACATTTTCGAGTAACCTCCGTGATCCATGTATTTTAAGGTACCTGTATTTAGAGTATGTGCCTGAGCGGAACTGTTCCCTGTTGGAGTCTTCGCTTTTGCCAATCGGCCATCGTTCCCTTTGCTAACATTTTCCTTCTCTAATTGCTTACCTCATGCTCCTCGGCAAAATGTCATCATCTTCGCTCCTTCTATACTCCCTAAAGGTTTGTAACATTTGTTCTAAAGCACGTGCATTAGCGAGTTTGCGCGCGTCTGAGGCGGGCCGCTCCCTGCTGGAGTCTTCACGTATGCCAATCGGACATCGTTCCTTTTGTTAATATTTCCCTTCCCTACTTACTTATCGGCAACATGTGCTCCTCGACAAAATGTGATAATTTTCGCTCCTTCTATACTCGCTAGAAGCTTGGAACATTTATTCTCTAGTTTGCGCGAGTCTGAGGCAGGCCGTTCCGTGTTGGAGGCTTTGGCCGTTTCGCCAATGTGGAGGCGGCGGCGGGTAGTTTGCGAGGAGAACGGCGCGGCGCTGTGCTTCCCCCGCGAATGTACGAGCGGCGGCGACGATGCCTACCTGGAGATTGCACGAGGGCCTGGACCTGACGCCGGGCGCCCGGCGCGCGCTGCAGCCTGGGCGGCGGAGCTGGGCGGCGCGGTGCGGCGGCGTGGGCGTGGCCCGGCGCGGCGGCGGGGGCGTGGCACTGGGACCTGGGCGTGCGCCGTGGCGCGCGCGCCTCGCCAGCCCCCGTTCCCGAGTACGGCCACCGCCCTCGCCGACCCCGCGCGCCCGCCCTGGTTCACCTCGCCGCTCGTCTTCTGGCTGTCGTCCTGCCTGCTGCTCAGCTGGCCCCTGCGGCTGCTCGTCGAGTACAACACCGCCTACGTGCACTACCAGGTACGCCCACTCTCTCTCTCTTGCTTCGCTTACGCGTGAAAGTGGGCTCGCGAATAAACTACTATAAGAGCTCCTTTGAGGAATTGCGTTTGCAAACGTACGGATGTGGTAGCTCTATTTTCAGGAATTAAAAACGAAGGAACTATTTTTAATGTAACTTGAATATCATCGATTAAGAGAGAGGAAATAAAGTTGCGGGTAAATAAACACCCGCTCACTGCTACTAGTTATTGTTACCACAGTATTGCGAAAAGCGACGAAATCTGGTCGGCAAGCCACACAGCGCAGACAAGCGCCCAACTTAGGACCCGGCCGTTCATCTCCATGTCACTTACGAACGTAACAGATCCTACATGATGTAACACACAGCACTCTGCCTGACCGTACTGTGTGTAATGTGCAGCCACATATTTAGTGTAGCTATCACACGTTATTTTTTGGATTGTGTATTCCGGATGTGAAAAACATGTTCAGAGTTAACTACAACTTAGCCAGCAGGACCACGCCCACTTCTGTGGCGCCCAGCATGGGGCCTCCCCAGTCATCTCACCGTCTCTTACGAACATTACCGGTCCTACATGATATCACGCACTTCGCCCGTACTCAGTACATGACAGTACTCAATACAACGTTTTCCTACTTATTTATCATCTTATCAGTTTTCACACGCTTTTTTTGTCTTATTTGTGTATTCCGCAGGTGACGAAGCTGTTCGGTGTTAACTACGAGCCGCCAAGCAGCGCCACGCCCACGTCGGTGGCGCCCAGCGTGGGGCCGCTGCCGGCCAGCACGGCGACTGGCGGCGGGGCGAGCGGCGCGGGCGCGGGCGGCGGCGGAGGCGGTGGCGGGGCGCTGTCGCGAGGCTCCACCATTGACAGCGCCGACCTCGACTGGACCATCCGCGACAACTGCGCCGTCGTGCCCAGCTACTCGGAGGCGCTGCTCATGCTGCCCCCGCAGCCGCCCGCGCCGCCCACGCCCGCGCCCGCGGAGCTGCAGGTAATCATAATGATAGATATGGGAAACAAATAAATAAATAAGTAAATAAATATCAGTTAAGTAATTGTAAATAAATAAGAAAATATGGAAAAGTTAATTGACGACTATAAATGTGGTCGTGTTTTGTTATGTTTTTTTTTGCCTTTCTTAACTTATTTAATTATTGCTGCAGTTAACAATTTTCAATAACTTGTTTGTAATATTTTATTAAATTATAATTTTAAATAAATTGCTTATAATATTTTAGAGAAGATATACTTTTATTTTCTAATTTTTCTCACAAACGACTTCGAAGCCATTGACCGCGAAAAGTGTCTCAGGGCACTTCCGACACTGGCCAGATAGCTAATTCGAGTTCCCTCACTCTCTGGAGGAGGAATCTAGCGGCCGGCTGATCTCTTACGTATTTTTCGGTGTTTTTCTCATCAATTCCAAACGAATGTCGGAGCAGTACGTTAACAGATGGGCCACGGACCGCGCACGATCTATCATTCCCATTCCATGTCTTATCCTATCCCTTACACACTCTTACAGTTACGTACACTACACTACAACACGTGTCGGGAGTTGGGGGAAATGCTTAGTGTCCCGCCTGGGGCTGTGCCCCTCTAATGGGAGATACCTGGTGGAGGAAACCCCGCTAGCCGGCGGTAGGTCGGCGTCGGATCTCATCATCCCGCGGGGCAAGATCACCGCCACTTCCCAAGCAAAAAGCATGTACTACACTTACAGGAACAATTACCTTAGCCTTCGACGCGCCCAAAATCTTTAGTAATGAATCAATTGAGTCTATTGTCATCTCTGACAGAGAAAAAGAAATACGAATATCAATTCACAAATAAGAAATATACTTGTATATTTGTATACTTGTATATAAGCGCAATGTTTGATAGTGATTCGGTTCTATAATTGGAAAGCTAGCTGGTGTTGCCTTGGCGATAGTACAAGATGCTTCAGAATTAATATTTAATCAAACTTCGAAGGCATATACAGAGTAGAAAATGACCACTTTTTGGGAATGAACAAATAGTAGGAAATGCACATAACAGAGTTATATGCGTTTATGAAAGTGACATTTTAGTCAATAAGTGAGCACAAATATTCGTCAGGTATATACAATTCCCTCGACTGTAACAGAATGTGACCTTGCAAACATCTGTGTATAAGCAGTTGCTTAATAATCAGGGGATGGAAAATACGTGAAAGTTCTTTATAAAAAATATACCACTACATGTTCATTGGCAAAAGGTGACCGTTATAGACCCTTCTTCATGCTCTATAGGTTTGTAACATCTATAGAGACTCTGTATACACATTCGACCGACGAAACTTCGTTCTCATTTCTCAATCTACTCTATTTTCTTCCTAATTCCATTCATTTCCTCCAATCCCTTCCCCCGACCCTCGTCTACGAGTGAAAGCTCCCGCACAGGTAAATAACGTTCAACCCGCCTGATTTCACTCCATCCGCCACGCAAAGGGAACCGACATTCGCATCCGACCGCACAAAACCCACCCTCGCGCTCGCCCCCGTCAAACGCATGGGTCAGCGCAGCCATCGCCCTGTGACGGGTCCGCGACGCGCTCAAAGTACGCCCGCAAATCTGCTGCCCCAGCGGGCCGACAGATCGCGCGCGCGGCGCGGGCAGGGGGCCTTGACTGCGGTTTCCCCGCGCGGCACGCCACGCTCTCCCCCCCCGCCCTTACCCACCTCCTCATCAAACCCCCCCGTCACACCGTGACTGCAACTGTGGGCCCGATTCCGAACATCAAAGTAAAGTTACAGTTCACCCTCGTAACGCATGTCCACCCCGGATGCACAAACGCCAGGCGTGAGCTGTTAGGCCGTTTTGTGGAATACATCCCGGCTGTTAGAGTGTGCTTCAGGCGTATCAATTGCATGTCAACTTGCCCAGTTTCGGCTCTGATAGGGAAAGATCCTAGGGTTCGGGCCCGGGACGCGGCCCTTGTCACTAGGTCGAATTCAGTTGCTGTCTAGTGGAGATTAATAGCGGACGGTTGTTCTGATCGGTGTTTTTCTGTGATTCTCCGATCAACACTAGGTGAATGTCAGAGCACTACGCTAACACACGCACCACGGACCGTGCGCGTTCGTTGTTTCCTCTTTTTTGTCTTATCCTCACCCCTTACACACACACACACTAACATGCACTTACACTAACACACATTCCGGTAGACCGGCATGCCGGCTGGGGCGGTACCCCACTAGTGGGAGATACCTGGTTGGAGAAACCACGATAGTAGGCGATAGCTCGTCATTCAGCGGGGGAAGATCACCGCCATCTAGCGAAGAAAAACAGGCACTATACTTAGGGTACTTATGTTCTCAGTAGTTAACGCTCCAGTAATCACTAAAAATCAACCATCCAACAAACGCCCGCTAAGATTGTAACATTGATTGGCATATAATGCAAAATATTGTGTTGCGTTTATGATTTACCAGTGCAAAAGTACAAAAGAAACATATTACATATCGAAACATGTCTCAGAATAAATGTTACAAATTTCTAGGGTATGTATAGGGGTTGAAAATGTTCACTTTTTCTTCATGATCATATAACACAGCGAAATTACAAATAACGAAAATACTCATGTGACGCTAACACCGTGTTGTTAGGCAACCCACCATGCACGTTCATTCGGCACATAAACTAATTATCAGACTGCGAGAGCACGTGGCTCGCGAAATGTCTGTCCCTAACTAGTTCCCTCACAATCAGGATGAAATTTCACAAGTGTAATTTCATATTAGTATGAAATTTCCCACCACGAGTTCACCATTGGTAAAAAGTCATCATTTCCGACCTCTTGAAGGTATAGAAGTTTCTAACGTTTATTCTCAGCCACACTGCTTAGTAAGAGTGTGTAATATGTACATTCCATTTGCGATCCATGATTGCAAAACAATTTTCTTGCATTAACCACCAATAAAATTCTACAGAATAACCGTCATCCGAGCTCGGACGACAAAGAGACGAGTGCGGGAATCACCTTGCGCTCATATTGCGTACACAATTTTTTTAACAAGCCGTGAGCGAAACGCAATGCGTCAAGTAAATATAAATTAAATATCAAATAACTATAAATACTTTACTTGCTCTAATGTAAATGGACTCCAGTCAGTATCGTAACACTATTGTTTGTAAATAACAAATATAGACATCGCGAAAAGACAAATGCGGATTATTACAGATGTTTCGCACACGCTTCACAATGTTTCACATACAGTGAAAAAATAGCTGGTTCGCACACGAAAAATGAGCACTAAAAACAGCGTTTCGCGGAAAATAATCACGAAAAAATAAAAATATGTTTGTTAAAGCTGTGAAATATTGCTTAGATAAATTGGAAAAGCATTAGCGAAGCATTGCCTTTTCACTCAAATGTTCTTACCAGACGAGAGTATTCTGGAAAAGAAACGATACATGATCGACAAAGAATGTTGCTTTGCCGAAAGAATCAATGAGTATTGATGAGAATGTCGTGGTTACCTTTGTCCAAACGAAATTAAACGTTTTCGTTACAAATTTCATGTTTTACTGCACGTTAGACTGCAGAAAGGTGCTGGGAATTACCTGGCAGCTCGAATCAAACTTTGAATGCGCTCTACACATTTCACTTAGCTTCTGTGAACAATGGCCACGAAACTGTTCGCGGCTCCTCTGATTTTCATGACAATGCCAGCCCGGCGCGTCTCACGTGGAAAAAGCTGGATTCCGAGAAATCTGACAATGGGCACATACTTCGTCGCGGCAGCCCAGAAGCTGATGCGATCGTTTGGTGGCTGTTTGAACTGACAAAAAGCAGTTGGCAATAGATGTCAACGAACTTTCTACGAAAGAAATTAGAATTTGGCCAACTGGGAAGGAATTAGCGCGGCTTCTTTGAGCCAAATCTGAGCGGGAAGGTTGAAATGTATGATCTTTTCTTCTGAAATGCCAGCAAGAAGAAGTGAAACTGGGCTGCTTGGAGCGTTGCGCCTAATTTGAATTAATTTGGCGATCAATGTGCCAACAACGTTTATTATTTAACAAAAATCTACGATGCCCGCAATGATCGTGTCGATCCGCCCATAGGCTGAACGCGCTCTGTCGGTCATTGGAGCCACCGCGCGCGCGGGTGACGGATGTCCGTCGCGCGCGGCCAGGTAGTGAGCGGGCGCGCCGGCCGAGGGCGCAGCGATCGATTCGGCGCCTGGCGGACCGTGGCCGCGGCCCTCGGGGACGGCGGCCTCGGGTCGGGCGCGACGCTGACGTTCGGTGGGATGAGCTGGGGTGGGCAGGTGTCGCATTCAGTCCGGGTACAGTTTGGGGTTGGGTACTAGTCGGGTTTTGAATTGAATTGATGCTTTATTTTACGTGGTGAGACTCGGGCCCGCTCTTCCGCCTGACCACGCAAATTTCGCTACGCTTCTTTCACCACCTAGAAGAGAAGGGAGGTATCATTATGGCGACGAAACAAGCCATTTAAATTTAGCTCCATTTACGCTTGAGGATTTTTTACATGAAGTAAATATACTACATGGGAGAGCCGGCTTTACTTCACCTCCGAAGGAAGGCGTACGAAGGATTTGTTCGCCGTTAAAATCCACGGCTTCGATCGTATTTGATAACTGTCCGATACGCTAACAGTTACACCATCGCCACCGGGTACGGGTTGGGTTAGTACGGATGGTCGGGACCGAATCGAATTACGGTCGGGGGCGGACAGGATTCTGATTGGGTTCTGGTCGAAGTCTGATCATGTTCCGAGCGGGTTCTAGATGGGTTGGGTCGGATTCTGCGAGGTCTGATCGGGTTCCGATCTAGTTCTATTCTGATCGGGCTCTAGTTAGTTTTGTGTATTATTTGAGCAGAATTTCTCTCGGATTCGAGTAAGGCTCGCTTCAAATTCCTGGCGAAAGCATTCGTAATCATTTCTGCATATAGATAGCTATAGCTATAAAAGATACCTACAAAAATCAGTACGTGTAAACAGGA